GTCGAAAGATCTCATTTTCCACAGTCGGTGATGGTGTGGGCTGGAATATCGGGCCTAGGCAAGACTAAGCTGGTTTTTGTGGAAAAAGGAGTGAAAATTATTAATTACTGAAATATATCGAAAGCAGATTCTGGAGGATGCGGTGATCCCTTGGGCCGAGAACAACGCGAAAAACGTTAACTGGACCTTTCAGCAGGATTGGGCACCGGCCCACAGCGCGAAGAAGACCCTGCAGTGGTGTGAGGCCATGCTTCCGGATTTTGGACGAAGGAGGTTTGGCCTTCGAACTCCCCCGACCTCAATCCTATGGATTTTGCTGTGTGGTCGATTCTGGAGCAGAAAGCCTGCACTATCAAACACCGGTCTTTGGAATCTCTGAAAAAAGCTCTTTTGGAAGCGTGGGATGAAATTTCGCCGGAAACGATTGCGCGCATTCTTAGAAACTTCCGAAAGAGGTTGGACGCTTGCATCAAAGCGAAAGGAGGACATTTTGAGTTCGAGATGTGATATTATGTTTACAATTTTGTGATGTTTGTATAGGAGTAAATTTATCTTATTTGAATTGATTTGAACAATTTTGTTGTTAGTTTTCTGTGTCACACTTCATGTGGGTCACCCTGTATGTTTCGTTTCGTGTTTGAGAACGAGGTCGCTAGTCTTAGTGCTGGTATGAACAACTGTTCATATCAGCCGGAATAAATATATACAGGGTGGTCAAAAATTATTACAAACTTTCAGCGAGTAGTACTACACATTGAACTAGATACTGTAATTCCGATGTATTATTATTGTAAGTGATATGATTTCATCATTGCCACTGAATTTCATCAACATCCGACTAGTTCGTCCAATATGATGCGCGGCAATCCTGTGCGTGATACCATTGTGCATTTCACGATGCTGGCAACACCCATCCCTTCCGCGGAAAAGCTTCCGTCTGTCGTTAAACCGTCTATGGACTCTCGAGAGGTATAAGGGGATTGGTATGATTGACGTGCGTCTTCGATCTGGAAGACCATGCACCGCAACGACTTCCGCGAACCGAAGACTTATCAAGAAGCGCATCGACATGAATCCTCGTCGCACAACGCAAAAAAATGGCTAGAGATCTTAAGATCTCGCGACAATCCCTTGAAAGGTTGGTACACCGTCAACTTGGGCTCTATACTTACAAGATCAGAAGTTGCCATGCCCGCCCTCACAGAGAAGAATAAAACCGGTCCGCTCGCAAGATGCCGGGCGATGCTGGCGCGGACCGCTGCGGGAGCGCTTGGTGACCGTCGTCTTGCCTGACGAGAAGCTGTTCACACAAGAGGCATCGCGAATGCCCAAAATGCGCGGATGCTGGCCTCATCCCCTCAACAGGGCAATTTTAGGGAGAGAGTCGTCTCTCGGCATTCTCACCCTGCCAGTGTGATGGCATAGGCTTTTTGACCAATAGTAAGCTTCGTTCACTTCAGCATATGGACACCTACGTCGGGTCATTTCTCTTTTTCATTAGGTAATGTTCGGAGCACCATTTCGCTCTAACTCTCGGCTCGGTTACCATGCAACTGAATTGACAAATTACTAGCGAGCTAAACATCTCAGTGTTGACTCCATCCAGACTCTCAAATTTATCGACAAGAAGCGATTTCAAAACAATCATCCAATGCACTGCGAAGAAACCGCCTATAATGGTATTTTAAGCGTTTCGCAATTTTTTTTCACTGGCGAAAGGGCTCTTCAGAACATTACTGTTTTTTTTAGGAACGGCAGTTCTTGTTCTAGCAAGCACAGATGTCGATAGCTCCAATCAATCTTACTACGGAGAGCAACATGTCAGTTAGTTTTGCTTCTTTAAGTTCTCTCTTAGTGATATTAATCATTGCCATTTGATGGGTTATAACGATTACTTCTGACTTGATTAGCACTTTGAGCACTTACTAGGAGGTTCAGGCTACAGTGTCGCGTACAAAAGTATAGTGCAAGTATGGTAAAGAAGTCTTCGCTATGACTTTTTGTACTTGCTTGGAATCATTGACAACAGTTGGATTTTGAATGACCTTTCGAACACGTGGACGACGATGTCAGTCAGGGTTGGGCCATTCTCCCCTGGGACGATAGCCGTGATCGATGACCGAAAAAAATGTCAGCCAGCAAATGTTGTAGAGCTTTTTTCTCTTGAAACAAACAAAAAGACTCAAAAAACTGTCATCACTCATCGCATTGAATCCCCAAGACTGAATTTGGGTGTAGACGCAAGGTTTTTACTCCTGCCTCTCGCGAAAGCTGGATTATCATCGTCATCGACAGTAGAACACATATTGGTGATAAGAATAATCGCGGCAAGGAAAACCCCTTTTTCTGCGCTATTCACAACCAAATTGAATCGGTTCTTGATTCACTTCTATTTTCTATTTTTGCTCATCTAACATTTCGTATACCCCGATAGTCCATTCCTTTCTCATGAGCACCGATTACTGATATACCGGTTGGCTTTTCGCAACATTGTGTGATTGTTTTGCCTTCATTAGGTCACACTGCACTTCAGTCTCTCATGAAAGGGCTGAGGCAACAAACCGAAGAGTCACTCAATCTTCTAACCCTCATTCAATACAGTGTTTGTAGTATTTAGGAGATAGATTATTAAAACCTTCGGAAAACTGTTCGAATGCTGTGCGACTGCATCTTCACTTCTTCTTTTAGGTTCTTTTTTCTTGCTTTGTACTCAATACTTTTTATTTTCTCTATATTCAAAGCAATGAATTTGTGTGTCGGTTTGTATGTCGTTTTGTAGGTCAGTCATCATAAAGTCTCGGGGCGCGATGAGAAGCGTGAAATCCGCTCATATTACATATAATGATCACTTATCAATACGGGTCATTTTTCACTTCTTAACTTAGGAAGGGGGAGGAGGTAGGGAAGCCTTCTTCATTGGCATCAGTTGGTGAAACCGGGTGGTAGCTCATGCAGTCTGCAGATTGTAGTGGCACTCTGTTGCCATCGCTCAGGCTTTATTACTCCTACAACCTGATTAAAGACCTTCGTCCACTACGCTGCTCGAGCACCATGATTTCCTCAGCTGCCAAGACCAGAACCAGTTGCCGTGCCCGATGTCATCTTCTTGAGAGCTGTTTTCCTCTCCTTCACGGTTTCCTCTGTACGAAACTAACAAGGGAAGGATCCCAAGTCGAAGTGGCCATCTGAAATGGGACCTATACTGCTAGACGTATTTTTTGATGCTGATTTCAAATCTGCATTCAAAATCTGCCAAACGATTCTCTGAACGAAGTTATGGAGGGTGGTCTCCGGAGAGCGCTCAACAGGGGAAAGCACAAAAGCCATGGTCGCCGGCAGCCTAGCAGTGGCGGCTTGGAGTGAAGGTAAGCGTGACGCTTCACAGGCACGGGACCAAGGATCGGGTTTGGTGGGC